ATCGACTATTTTTGGGGAAAATATAATTTATTGAGAACATGATAATAATCAAATTTTCAGTATGTTTCAGGAGAACTGAATGGACGTATGAAGACTACAGAGGAAAAAATATGAAAATAAGTAGAAAAAATGAAAAGATGTGGAGAACAGGTAGAGAAAATTTCAACAGCCACCTAAAAAACATAATCAAGGTATAGGTAAAGTAGTAGCTAAGTATCAAAGTAAGTATTATATTTATGAAAAAACGGAGGAACGTTGTTTCATGAAGCTAATGGAAAAAATCGCGATATATTTTGAAAAATCATGCTCATGTATTTGAGAATTCAACATTAACTCGACTATTTAATTTTCCGATAAAAACATCGAAATGAAGTCACCAATAAATACAAAAATACGGAACAATTGACATAAAGTTTTGAAGAAATTTTTTGAGAAATTAATTATTTTATCAAACATAATATGAGTACAGGAATCATGTATTTTTTGGAAGGCAACCATCTCGATGCAAGACATTCGCTTATGAAACAATGGGAGTGAAAAGTTTTTCTTCATTATTATTCAAAAAGGAAGGAATCACTGGTTAGTATAGAGTTTGCAAAGTAGGTCTAGCAATTCATTCAATAAATCAACATATACACAGGCATATGCATAAGCAGAAGGAAATTAATGGGGTCAGTATTCGATTCACGTTGATGTTTTGGTATCAGATGTCACATTATACGGTTCAAGTTCATTCATCTACAATATATGCAGCAGTGATATAAAATATGTTCTTGATAATAATATTGAAACAATAAGTATTTGATTTTTGAGGCAGATTTTTTTTTGAATATTCGTAATACATAAGAAAATAGTATGAATACTTTGTAATATGGATTGTGCTGCGTTTAATATACATATTATGAAGGTAGAAAAACTGATCTAGTTCACGAATTGAAGAAGTCAATGTTATTGACATTGAACTCTGCTTGCAAATAACACTGGAGGAATAATGGCACAAATAACACGGAATAAATGTCATGACTAATGAATTTTTCATTTGAGAATATTTACGAAATAGTACAATAAAATATATGAGTCAGATGGGTAAATACTATTGGTTTATAATTTCAGATAAAAGTTTTTCATATTGGTAGAAATCTAGACTTAGGGAGGATATTTGATTGAGGATAAGTTTAATCATATAAACATTATTTGTTATTTCGGTAGTTATGCTGCATTAACCTTTTGTTTTACATGTGGTCCCACACTCGAGAAGAGGCAATAAGTTGCCGAGGTAGTTGGACTGAGTTTCACCGCATACAGGGTGGATCATGCAATCGTTCCTATGGGCATCACCAGTGGAGGAGGTACAGGGTACCAGTAGCGAACGTTTTCCGAAGATATAGCCATGGAGATAGAGCTACAAGAATCAAGGAGCTATATAGATGACATTTGGAGACTACCGTCAATGACTTATCCGAGGATATGGCGGCCGTTGTAGCCTTTCAGCATTCCAAATTAGTCAAACCTTGCCAATGGGAGGAGCTGACATTTGAGATGATGTTGCCACTCCGAGTCCGGTAGCTGTCCAGGACAATTCCAGTCATCTAGTTAGATTACGTCACACAGCCACATCTGTAATCTATGGAGAGGCCAGTAACCGTGCAGAGAACACACTAGGAAACAACGCTACCTCAGAAAGCCATATGCATTGCCAAAGTATACAATGAGCCTAGCAGTTAATGGGGTATGCCAAGGAACGCCTGATGTGAAACTCAGAAACTACTCAGACTACCAAGCCAAGGACCAGAGTGTGTGGATCGACTATTTTCGAGTTTTGTTTCTATTTGCAGTTAGTCTAGGATATGTTTATTGTAAATTCAGTCACAAATAGGTATATATTTAGTATAACAAGTAGGATTTTTAAAGAATAGACTCATCTGACCATTTTTAACGACGGGGGCCGTCGTTTTCAGAGGAGGGGCATGTCACAAATGATAAGATATTCTGAGTCAAATTCCAAAAATTCTTCTAAAAATCATATTGGTTCGAAGTCATTGAACGTTCACGTATCTGTTTATTATTTCCAAAATTATCGAACCACGAACTTTCGATTAATAGTTGAACCTAAACACAGGCGTGACAATGACTTCAAACCATCCACCTGACTTCCTCACTGTCACGTTTCCAAAATATAGATTGGATATATAAAAGGCGCGAGGAAGCCAGCACAGGTATCACTTCGATCATTCAATCATTCGATCATTCAAGCATTCAATCAGTTTCAATCATTTGCCACTGTGCCCGAATCTTCGGAGTTCGGGCAGAACAGAAGATGCCCTTCCTCAGGCTCCCAGAAATGCCTCTTAAATTTGTACATATAGGGTAAGTTAAGTTTTATTTATTGTTATTCATTTCCAAGAATAAATGTGTGTATATGTGTTGTTTCAAAACCCGTTTGAGTATTATTTATTATTATCACTTTCAAAGTTCATTCTCTAATGGATCTAGAACACAACTTAGGCAACCCCCGCCTACAGTTTGTGACAATAGTATTGGATTATTTTTCAATAGTCTGTTTTGTAAATCAATGGAACCATGAATCTTATCAATCTTCTGTTCGAAAATGGGTCTAAAGTATAGTTTCATTCCAATCTGCTGTTATAAGAAGTGAATTTTAATGTATGTAATCACTTCACAAATTTTGATTGTCTTCAAATTAATTTTTCATCCTGGCCGTTTCATACATTCCTTCTATAAAGGAATGGTTGATATTTTTTTTGTAAAATCAAGGAAATGAAATCGCCATTCCCTTCAGAATTCCCGCAATTAATTACACAGCAGGACATTTCCATTTATGCTTTTTGTCTCAATAGTTTATGAAATTATATTTCAATTCTGACGTCCATAAAATTTATTGTCAAACTCAAACAATTCTGAATGAAAAAGCGCAGAACGACTATGATGCTGTTGTACAATACAAGACGTGTAACTTAATAAATTCAAACATTCAAAAACACTAACAGTTGTCATTTATGTGTCCGAACTCTAAATCTAACTTATACCTTCCGGTGACTCTAGGATACACTATACTAAAATCATTCAAAGTTATGATACAAGTAACAAAATCCACAACGTACGACTTGGAAAACATAAGCTTGAAATTTCAGAAAAACATTCTAGTTTTAATGGATCTAAAATTTATAATATTCATTAAACAAGGCGTCATTCGGTTGTTTTATATGTTAGATTTGACGTTTGGATCGAGGATTTTTTCCTTTAAAGCCGTATTTCAATCAAGAAACAATTGAATATCACTTCCCGTTTTTCCGGAAATTGGTCTAGACGATAATTTTGAATGGAACCCTGGAGATATTTTTATGCCATTCGATAGAGCGAAAGAATCCCTTTTCAATGACATATCACAAGTAGACATTTGTTTTCTTAATGGCGGCGCAGGAATTTTTTTTCTAAAATCAATATGATGACACTGTGGCTTCATCCACCAACCTAATAAAATAACAAATAAACAAGGTAATTTGATTAGTTTCTGATGGAAGATGCGAACATTTTTATTCATCGCCAATCAGCAATCATTTGAATAATTCTCTCAAATGACATTTTTTCTCTTGAGTTTTCTCGAAAATGTTCAACAGGGATAGGTCTTTTTTGTAAACTAACATCAAAGTATAGGACATTTTGTACAGATACATCCTTGACAAACTACTTTTTTTTTCATGTTTGATTAAAAAATCTAATGCAGTTAGTTGAGTTGGGGTGGGTGTGACCTAGGGTGTTGAAGGTGGATTATTTCTGAGACATTAACTTTCAACTTAGTATATTATGGAAACATTTATGATCAATTGGTGATAATAATATGAATCTTATTTTGTATATGACCTACATCAGTGCAAAGCTTTCAAACTGTCATCATCCTCTAAATGGCTAATAGTACATTGTTTCAAAGACAATTATTAAAATTTACATGTTGAGTGTTCTCAGACCCATTTATCATATATCATTGAACTAGTCTTCCTAGTCTATTGAAGGAAAATCAGGATATTCCATTTGAAAAAACGTATGTTTGGTATATCACAGGCATATATGACATTATCTAAAGAAGAAGATTCATATGACTATAAACAAATTCGATTTTCTTTTTTTTTGTATCTATTCTAGTTTACCAGATGAGGGGGTCCTAATAGGCGAGTGGACTATCTTTTTTCAATTCTAAAATAGAATCATTATTCAATTACCTTTCAATTCCATATTTTTTTATATTATTTCGGTCGATTTTAAGGTGCTAAAATCATCAATATTGCTAGAAATCTACCGTAAATAAAAACTGACGTCACGATTTCGTACTTAGGGAAAGACCATAGCACAGTTGCCATATGTTGAAATACGAATGGAGAAATATTATTTAAAATCTCAATTATGTATTGGTGATATATTTGTGTAATAATTATTATAATAATTCACACAAGAGGAGATATGCTCCGGTAAACGTGACAACACAGGATTGTGGGCGTTGTCTTGTCAGTACTCAGCGTAGCACAGCATTGCCAAGTCTCTAGCAAAGCCAACATTTAAATGATGTTTTGTTATGGGAGTATAAGAAATATTTTAACAAGCTGGTTGGTCGAAACAGTCATAAATCAATAACTATAATATCATAGCTTCCTCCTGTTAGGTCAATATATTGAATTTGGATATAGTGTTGTTCAACTTTTTGATATCTTGATTATAGTTGGTGACTTGAGTGGAAATGGAAAATTATATGACCAATGATGAAACAGCATAAAAATATATCCGATGTATTAAAGAACATGGCCAAATTGCGGCACGTTTTAAATGAGCTATGGAATTCAACTACTTTGAACTATGCATAGATAGACACATTATTTACATCAAAAACATAACGACATAGTGAAGTAATTGAATACCAATTATTCGCTACTGGTCCACTCGCCCATTATTCACTCGTTCCCTGAGAAGAGTCCCCGCCCGGTACAAACCTGAGCTTGGCGTCCTCGGTGAGCTGCAGCTCGTCCTCCAACTCTTCGTTCTGCGCTTTAAGCTCGGCCAGCTGGCTCTCCAGAGATCTTTTCGCTTTTTCTAGCTCGTGTACGTTTTTGTCAGCAGTACCTTGGTTATTGGCAAGCTCATCGAGCTCACCTTGTAACTGCCTCCTCACCCTCTCCAACTCCTCGATCTTCACGTTGGAATCGTCCAGCTCGCGTTTCAAGGACAACACCAGGGTCTCCTTGTCTCTGGCTTCCTTTTCCACTGCGTCCTTTTCCGCTGCCAGTTGCTCGCTAACCGACTTCTCTTCCGCTAGCACCTTGTCGAAGTTCTTCTGCTTCTTTTCGAGTTCGGAAACTTTTTGCCTTTGCGTTTCGAGGTCGATGTTGGCGTCTTCCAGTTCGGCTGCGATCTTCTTTTTGCTTCTTTCCAGTTTGTCGTTGGCGGCTGTCAGTTCTTCTACTTGCCTTTGGAGCGCCTCCAAGTCCTTGGCTAGCTTCTTTTTGCTTTCTTCCAAGATGGCCGCCTGTTCGGCTTCGTCTTCCGCTTTCTTTTTGGCTTCGGCTAATTGGACGGTCATGATTGACAGCTGAGAAGAATAGAATGAATGTACGTCTTGAAATTTGATTTGACATGAAATAATTTTAAATTTTAGCACATCCGAGATATTTGAATTATTGGTGATAATTCTAGATTATTCCTTAAATATTTGATCATATTTCTGATCACTCGAGAGCACTCTACCAGTGTGAAACTCATGTGGTGCTCGCACTACAAGGTCCATCGGATATTATCTTTCGAGGGGCGAAATGTTCTCGTAAATGATGACGCTCTGCCACTAACTTAGCTGAGAGATGTATAGAAATTTAACTGGTGGGCTCACTCTTCCATTGTTTCGTCAGACTAACTCTCGATATGGAACAATTGGGTTCAGGTATTTACGATAGAGGCGCCATAATCGGAAAATCGTTCAAAACCTTGGTTCTGTGAGGGATGAATCTATTTCCATCATTGTTTTGTGGTCGAATTAATACTGTGCTCAACAATTTCATTCAAATTTCAATTTGAAATAGAAGCAATAAATCTTTTTTGTAGCCGATTTTAATAAGCTTCACTTCTTTCATGACATGAATCTACCTTTTTTAAGCATGAAATCTGATGAATTTCCTCTTTGAAGAACCAGAACAAAGAATGTATCAACTATTGAAATAGACCAATATCGAAAATCATAATAGGCAGATATGGTAACTGGTACTCACCTTAGAATTTATTCACACCAGTTCACGCTAATATTTCAAATCACTGAAATAATGCTGTTGTAGAACAGAGATTTTCTTTTTTCTATGGTGGATTAGGTATTATACACAAAATTTAGAAACTACGGAACACGACCCTAATGAACACTTGACCCCAATCTCAGAAATAACCATTTTTTCACCTCAAGAATATTTTTGACATATTGACGTTTCGATCCTTTGATCAGGGATCAGTTCACTGCTATGATCCAAATCATATACGTATCCAAATATTTATCGGTCGGTAATATGTTTCCTGTAAATATGGATTGTAACCAGGATGAGCTTAGCGAGATTTACCCACGTCAAGTATGTTTATCAAAGGTTTATCAGAGTAGGCGCCATCGAGAAACTTGCAAACGACCTTCAATAGGGAGCAAGCGCACCAGTTAAATTTCTATACATCTCTCTTAGCTCGGTTTAAATCGCGGCACGTATGGATATTCGTAAAGGGGACATTATTCCCTTTCGTTTGCTTTTTGTTTCAACTCGTTATCACATGACGGAAGTATGTCTGGAATAACGGCCGTGGATTTGGCTCATCATGTATTTTTATTATTTTTATTGATTTTATTTGTGACAACATTATACCTCGCACATAAGGTTTTCATCTAGAACAACAATATCCCGACATAAGACCATCAACAAGTTTTCTTGAGTGTGCAGCAGCGTTTCTTAGCAGGTTTCAGTTTCAATAAATATCATAAATTCACTCGGATTTCTCCACAACATTGCATGCATTATCTCAAATGGTAGACTAAGATAGTTTTTTTTCACACTCTTCCATAGAACACCATGAATATTTATGAAAAAAGCTACGCATCCATCAGTTTCAATATTATATGGGACAACACAGACTATATACAGAGTGACCCATTTGAAAGCGGGCCACCCCTGTATCTCACGTAATCGTTGGGTAAGGATCATGAAATTTGCTGGAGCGAGATATATACCAAAAATGCACTCTATAACCAAGTGGGGTCATCTTCAGTCATATACACTGCTCGCCAACAGCCATGGAACCACCCCAATTTCCTGAAAATGATATTAGGAGTCAAAATAGGTTGAGAATCACTTCGGATTCGGAATCAGGACGCCCAATTCACTAACTATTCATATTTTTCCTTGAAAATTTTCAGTTCTGAAACATCAAATTTTGTCGCACTTTTCATGGAAGCACCCCCGTATCTCACGTAATTATTGAGGCAGGGTTCTAAAATTTGCAGGAGGAACGGAAAGTCCAAAGATAAAGTCAATTACGTGAGATACGGGGATGCTTCCGTGAAAAGTGCGACAAAATTGAATTTTTCAGAACTGAAAATTTTCAAGGAAAAATATGAAGAGTTAGTGAATTGGGCGTCCTGATTCCGAATCCGAAGTGATTTTCAACCTATTTTAACTCCTAATATCATTTTCCGGAAATTGGGGTGGTTCCATGGCTGTTGGCGAGCAGTGTATATCACTGAAGATAACCCCACTTGGTCATAGAGTGCATTTTTGGTATATCTCTCGCTCCAGCAAATTTCATGATCCTTACCCAACGATTACGTGAGATACAGGGGTGGCCCGCTTTCAAATGGGTCACTCTGTAAAATAGAGTGGTGACAATATACATCTAAAATGGCTGCCGTTTCCGGAATGTCATTCGTAGTAAGTCACTGAATAGCTAAAAATGTGAAGGGTCTCCCATACAGTAATTAATTTGCGCCTACGAAGTGTCCATCTGATGATAGGTTAAATAATTGATATTTTTTTTGTGACATAGGAGATGTAGAACTAACTGCTGGAGAATCCACCTCCATATTTCTATCTGATCAATCAAACAGTGCATCACTATTAATTGTCGCCACTCTATTTTATGAAGTCATACTGATAGGTATTAACAACTCACTTGTTTTTCAAGATTCTTCTTGGCTTCCTCTTCTTCCTCGATCTGTTCTTGGATGCTTTCCCTCTCCGACTCCAATTGTCTGAGCTTAGAGCTGAGAGCAAGTTTCTGTTTGGTCTCTTCCTCGAGCGCTGCTTGAGCCTCGGCCAGGTGGGATTCGCTCGTGCTCTGATTCTTCAAGGCAGAGGAAGCTCTGAAACATTTTCGATATGACATAGGGAACGAGAAATAACGGAGGTAACCATAGACATATTGAAGAGGGGAGACATTACATGCATAAACCACTATTTGTTCACAATCCTACATACTTCTAGTTTCAAAAAAGTTGGAAAGATATGGCATTCAAAAATGGCAACGCTGTAAACTGTGCGTCAATGTACAAACTTTTCTTCACCACTGTCGTAGGTTAAGCGAGGGGCAAGACATTTTAATTTTGACACCAATTATTTGTAGTATCTTAGGTACCTACCTAATTTTGATCCATCCAGTGAAATTCATAGAAAAGAAACAATGTCTTCGCAATAATAATAATTTAGTTAAATAACATGCGATAACTACAGCACTGCTCTAGTTGAAAGAAACCTAACCTGACTTACCGTCGAAATACCAATTCGGGGTTTGAGTAAGCAACTTCTCTACAGATCATGCACTGGCAAAACATAGTAGATTGTTATTAATGGTCTATATATAGTTTTGTAACAGGAACACAGTGACAATCAATCAAAACACGCAAGGTCCTAAAATGGTAACAAACACAGCACAACAACATTGTAATTTCTGCTTTGGATATACGTGAATGACTTTATAGAACATATGTGTTACATCCGAATACAGCGGTGCCAATGATATTTCCATGATACATTGATGTAATGCTGGAATCAGGAAAATTTTAATAATTTCAATAGCAGAATTCACATATTTCAATCAAGAAACATACATACAGAATAAATATACATAAAAAATGTATATTATAAATACGGGGGTTGATCTAGGACAATCCGCAGAAATTTGTCATTATCATTTTCTGCTGAAAACGATGTTGGATCGGAACGAAATGTGAACAATTTCTCCCCTCTTTTCATTTTATATGTCTATGGAGGTAACCTACTTGAGTTCTGCTTCTTCGAGCTGTTGAACGACATTCTCGAACTCCTGTTGCAATTTGACAGTTTTTTCTTGTAGTTCGAGGCGAGATCTATCTACTTCAGATAATTTCGCGGAAAGTTCTGCTACTTGACTTTCAGCTTGTTTACGTCTTCTCTCGCCTAAAATGTTCAGTTCAGGTTGTAACATACGTTTTTCTCTCAATCAATACAATACTAGGGTGATTGACTATGATTTCACAATTTTCAACACACGATATCACGAAAACTAATGAAGATTATCTAAAATTCGAAACAAAAAAAAAACACCGCTGAACTTCATTTACCCATTCCATATTCATGGCACATCTCAATTCACCCCAAATACTTGATCATTTTTTCTCACATCAGAGAACGAATCCTTTCCAACAATAAAATGAAGGATGAACTCCTTCAACATGAGATTATTATATAAAGTTGAGAAGATATCTTTCGAGAAGAAACAAAATTGTGTTGCTAAGTTCACTTGTCTTCGACATATCAAGTGTTGAAATCGTTAAATCCATTGTCGATCAATCAGTTCAACAAGGAAATAAATAAACTGCAGATTACTAACATGTTTTATTTTATATCTGTCTAAATTATGTACGGTTCACAATGATAGGCTCCTGGTTCAACAAATCTACCCTGTACAAAATTATCATCAACGTCAACAAACGGGAAACATTTATTAGACAACAATTCGTCACTGATGAATATTGTGTTTTCTTGTGAGCAATTCTGCAGTGAGTTGAATCCTGTATATTGTGAAATATTCTGTATCAGAAATCAATATCGCAGCTCGAAACTGTCACTTATTGACTTGGAATCAATCAAAATATCCTGTTACAAGTTGCAATCTTCGTACAGGAAATTGTGCGATAGTGTCATAACGGCTTTAGAGAAATTTAATCAGAATTCAGATTTCTGTCTAGGTGAATAACTATCCGTATATTGGGGGCTCAACGGGAAAATGAAAGCAGGTATAATGAAATAGTTCATTGAGAATGTATCAATTTCGGTATAACCTTAAAAGTGGAGGTGGGGCCGAGTTTTGTCGCTGCTGATTGAACCTACAACCTACTTGATTGGTAATCATGTCATCAGATATGAAGTTATAGAGTTGGCATTGAAGGTAGAACCTACATTGGTGACATTTACTACATTAATAAATATATTCTACAGTTTACAGTTGGATGACTTCAGAGCTTAAGAAATATTTGGCAACACAAAGAAGTGGCGTTATGACGTATGACGTGTGTGTCGCTGAACGCCATGTTTCAACGTTCCATGAAATTGTGAGGTTATTCAAATTATGTATTTTGAAGTATCACAGCATAGTCTAGTCATAAGAACGATGCATTCCTGTTGTGTTACTATATTTCAGTTTTATGCATATTTAAATTGAATTCACGCCTGTGTTATTGCCTATTGTTCATTATGAGTCCGATAATCTGCAGCCCCTTCATTTAACCGTAAAACGTTTTTTTTTATCACATAAAGGCCAATAATCTGAAAAGTTCAGATGGCGCTAGTTAGATTGGAGACCATGTCATGACATGCTTTATTATACCACCCAGATGTTAATAATCCCCAACCATACTAACGCCATCACGCGGGAGCAATATATGAAATCCCTGCTGTTCATTTATCAGAAATTATTTTTATTAACCTTTGAAACCTTTGGAGAAGATCTGTGATATGTACAGATATGCCAGTTTGGTGAATAAAAAATCAACTTACCTTCCTGTCTGCTAGCACCAACATTTCTCAATTCGCTTGTCAAGTCAGCATTTTCAGCTTCGAGGGCCTGTTTACTCTTCTCTAAATTAGCTTTCAGTTTCTTGATATTCTCCAACTGTTCATTCAAAACAGTGAGTTCTTGAGTATGCTTGTGCCTCATGTCGGCTTGAGTGACTTCGTGAATTTGAGTTTCTTCTTCCAAGGATTTCTTCAAAGTGGCGAGTTCCTGTTCCCTCTTTGATCTCAATTCTTGTTGGGCAGCAGTGGTATCAAGAGAATCGAGCAATTCATTTTTGAGAGCTTCCAGTTCTTCGTTTAGATCTCTTTTCATTTTTTCTGCCTTACTTCTGGCTGCCTTCTCAGCTTCAAGGTCTTCTTGTAGTTCGGTAAGTTGGCTTTCTAATTCTCTAAGAGCTTTTTGAGATTGAGCCTTTTGAGCACTTTCTTCATCTACTTTCACCATGGCTTGAGCTAATTCTTCTTCCCGCTTACCTAGCTGGAGGTGCAGTTCCTCGATTTGACTGCGTTTTTCGTTCACCTGCTCCTTCAAGTCATTGACTTCTGTTTCAACCTTCCTCTTAGATCTATCAGTTTCTTGTCTTTGCTGGTGGTCCTTCAATAAGCGTTCTTCTAATTCCGCAATAGTCGATTCATGTTTGGTTTTCAATTTGGCCAAGTGTTTAGCTTTTTCTTCTTCCTCAGCCAGAGCTTGGCTCAAGTCATTGCTACGTTCTTCCAATATTTTCTTCTCTTTGAAAAGTTTTTGATTAGTATCGTCGCTGAGAGCTAAATCCTCTTCAAGCTTTTTTATTTTATTATCACACTGGACTTTTTCCAGCTGAAGTTTTTGTCTGGCACCTTCTTCCTCCTCCAGTTGCTCTTCTAGATCTTGAATCGTTAGTTGAAGTTTTTTCTTATCCGCACTCAAAACGATAGCCCTCTCTTCTTCTTCCTCAATACGAGCTTCTAGATCATGTAATATTTCCTCTAGCTCCTGTTTTCTTGCTGTCAGTCTCGCTCTCATTTCTTCAGCTTCGGCACAAAGCTCCACTTCAGCTTGCAGTTGCTCTTGCAGAACCATTTTTTCTTCTTGAGCTAGTTGATACTTCGATTCATACTCTTCAGCTGATTTGATATGATGGTCCAGCTTATCTTTGACTTGTTTGAGTTCATCCTCTTTCTGCATTAGTTTCTCTTCTTGCTTAGTAACTTCCAACAATGGTTTGACTTTGGTATAAAGCCTCCACCATTGCCAGTTTCTTAGTTTCAAGTAAGCTGAGCAATTTCTCTGAATGATACGAATGGCATTAAGTTGCTGTACCCTCTTCTGATAATTTCTTCTTGAAGCGAATCCCCTGCAGAAGGCTTGGAAGTTGACGATGAGATCAGTGATCTTGTAATCTCTTTCTTCTTCAAGGTGAGCCAGAACACCAGCTCTGAAGAAAATTTTCGACTGTCCTACTCTGAACAAGTTCTTGTCGAGCTCCAGAGACTTGATCATGGCTTCGCAAGCTTTCTTGCCGTCCATAAAGCCTTTGTTAATGACATTGGGAGTGAGGAGTTCATAGCGTTGTCTGAACTCTTGGAAGGGTATCCTGTTGGGAAAACCTTGACGACAGATACGTATGCCTTCTAGAACACCGTTGCACCTGAGCTGATCCAGTACGAGAGGGGCGTCAATTTTGCCTGCCCTCTTGTCGTGATTGGGAATGATGCAACGGACGAAATTGGGGTTCGTATTGCGTAGAGTCACCATGAGATTAGCGAGCTGTTCTTTGTACAAATAAGACACCGTTCTGAACATTCCCTTCGCTCTACCCAAGGTTTCGGCGTCCTTCCAGATATGAATCACGAAAGGGTCTTGAGAGGCTTGCAACAAAGAGACTACGTTTTCGTTCTGAGGGTCCATATTTTTCATCAGCCATTGCTGGGCGCAGTAATCCACTTTACCGGCGTAGTGGATAATGGAAAAGTCTGCAACACCTCGGAAATCGCTCTTCTTGAACTTGGGATGGACAGAGTGGGCAGTCACTAGTTTGTCGACGAACGTTTTATCAGTCGCTTTAGGGAAGAGGCATTCTTCGTCGAGCAGCGCCATGATACCCATGGGTTTGTCGATCAGGTCGATAGTCGGTTGCAGGTCGAGCCCAAAGTCGATGAATTTCCATTCGATACCCTCCCTTTGGTACTCCTCCTGCTCGAGTATGAACATCGTGTGATTGAAGAGCTGCTGCAGCTTCTCGTTGGTGTAATTAATGCACAACTGCTCGAAGGAGTTGAGCTCGAAGATCTCGAAGCCGGCAATGTCGAGGATTCCGATGAAGCTAGCACCCTGCCTCTTCGTTCTACCCAGAGACCTGTTTATCCTAGTCACCAACCACTTGAACATGCGTTCGTAGCAAGCCTTGGAGACAGCTTCCACCGCGAACTCCACTTGCTCCTTGGTCTGACTCTTCGTGACGAAATCGCGGCCCACCTTGATCCTGGGCTTCAAGAAGGCCCTAGTCATGTCGGTGACGCTGAGGCCGAGCAGATGGGCTATCTTCTGGGCCACCGTGTTGTCGGGCAGGGTGGCCTGGTCGGAGCTGCGGTCCTGCTTGAACTCCATCTTGCTGAAGAGCATGACGGCGGAGACGACGCGGAAGATGGCGCTGAAGTCGTCGGGCGTCATGCCCATGATGTTCATGCTCTTGACGGTGGCCTGGAATTCGAGGGCATCGTCGACGCCGGGGACGATGTGGTTGTCGTCTCTGAGGAAGGCGTAGGATCTGGCGTCTTCCAGGATGAATTCCTCTGGGAAAACAAAGCGACGTACCGTGATAAGGAAGTTTCCTTCAAATAATTTTTTGAGAAGTTTGCTTTTTGATACTTTGTAATGCTTCGACTGCCTAGAATCAATAAAGATATTCAAATAGTCATAAATTTTTAAGCAAGAATGTATGACTTATTGAATAAATACAGGATGTAATTCAAGTATCTGGCGAAACTTCAAAGGGTGATTTCTCGAATGATTCTGAGACGAAAAGTTGATATAAACATGGTCCAGAAATGCATAGTTCAAACTTGAAAAAAAACTGGTTCTTTTTAAATATCGTGGAAATCCTTCACCCAATTTTGTTCAAATTTGGCAGTGTTATTTGTAATAGCAAGGTTAATTTACATTCAGATTTTAAAAATCGATTGTCTCGAAAAAGTTTGACATTCTGGATCTTGAAAACTATGCATTTTTGACCTATATTTATATGAACTTTTCGTCTCAGAATCACCTGAGATATCACCCCTTGAAGTTTGGCCAGATACTCAAATAACACCATGTATAGTAACTTGTTTTTGGATAAACTATAACCCAATATTATGTTCGTAATTCGTCGGTATTCGAAAATATCACGACCCTAGAAACCTATTGATTTATTTACAAAGTTTTCGAGAAATATCAAGGACATACACATAAGTTTGTTCATAATGAAAAGGTATGGCACATTGTTCAAAAATAGAATTTTTTTATCAGTATAAATACAACTCTTCAATTTTGTCTAGAACTAATTACTTTTTAAATACTGTCTGTAGGTTAATCAAGGAGGTGGAACATTCATTTCTACCAATGAGAATATTAATATTATTTCGATATAATATATGTTTGCGTTTGTTATTTCACTATTAAAAAACTTGAAAAAAAAATTATTGGTAATTTCGACTATTTATTCAGTCTAGTCATCAGGTGCGTTTTAAACAGATTTTGGGGTGGGTAGTTATAAACTTCTGGTATATTATGTTTTTTGTGGTGCTGATGGTCGCACTGGGTTTGCCACCAAAAATTCAGATGATCAGATCAGAATAAAATTTCATCTTTCATGTTTGAGTACAAACGCTGGTGTATTATTTTGCTGAGCAGACCATTGTTAAGAACTGCTCCCCACAACCCACATAGGCTCTAATTAATTATGGAAAAATCAAGAACATGAGTACAAACTATAAAAAATAACCCTAAACTGCAAAATGTGACAAAAACCATTTTCAAAAAGCCAAATTCGACACCTGAAGCTGTTGTTGATGCAGGAAACCGTTTTCTCGTGGCATTGATTTCTTGTGAATCTATGCATATTTTTATCTGATTTCTATTGTTTGGTGACTTGAAGAATCGATATTTTTCCTATCTTCTTCGGAAATTTCCATTCAATTTGCCAAATTGGCAATAATCAAGTATGTTTTTCGTCGGCCGACGAAAAATCAGTTTATGTTTTAATTTCTGAACGAAAAACCGACTATTACCGAAGGCAAGTACTTTTCGTCCGCAGATACTAACTTTTCGTCTGCAAACACTTTTCATCCGCTGCAGGGTTGCCAGTTCTTTTGAATTTTCAGTAGATCTCCTGATTTGCATATTGATCTACTGATCTACTGAAACATTTCATAATTCACTGAAAACTATTTTGACACTTATCCATCATTATAGTTACCTATATTATTATTAATCTTTAGCTAATCACATACACTTATGAATTGCATGATATTTCGGCGAGCTCTGTTTACATTAATTTTACAAAATAAGCAGTAAATGTACATATAGGTACTAATGGTATGCATTAACCAAAAAAGGACAATACCTTATCTGATTTAGATCGATTTAATTTTTTATATATTTCTGTTATAACAGTTTGTTCCTTACGTTGAATTTTTTCATTTGTTTTGCATTTTGTTGTCCATTTTTACTATCCGTTCCTGTTTTTTATACACTCAAATCTTTCAAGTACCTATGTAACTGTATTTTGTGATATTTGTTGGTATTTTTGAATTGAGAATGAGGAATATGATTAATTTTATGAGAATGTTCGTTTTGTTTGTTTCTATTTTGCTTTGGAAATAGGGTACTTTTCTGTTCACTAAGAGTACATAATGTTTTGACGTCATAGGTTTATTTTATTATCCGTTCTTGGAATTCGAATAGCATAAAATAGATTTCAAACAAATCTATTGCAATCTACTGAATATTTGACAAGGTATTTAGTGATGGAATAGGAATCGAACTGGCAACCCTGGTCCGCGCGGAGTGTGAGTTGACAACAGCTGTCATTTGCTGTTGTCAAATTAATTTTCACGGAATCCGATAGATTCCACGTGTGAATAGCACCGTGATGGGAATATAAGTCGCTTGCTATCAAGTTGCAGACTCGACTATAATAGACAGCGTTTCGTCCTCGGTACAGGGTGATTCACCATAAATGTCCCCCCCCTCTAGCTCAGTTATTTTTTAACAAATTTTAAATATCATCTAAAATGATTTTCGATAGAATTTTTTTATGCTACATCAGAAAAAACGAGGTGCTCGGAACAAACGATCTACACGGTACTATTTGATTTTTTTAAATGGAACACCTTATTTTTCATTGTATTTTTGGGTTCTCCCCGAAGAACTGATTTCATCAATGCATCATACTTGGGGTCTTGTGAAAATGATAACAGAGATAAAGGGTGTTCAAAATCGTTGGTATTTTTGAGACTAAACTATTCATTATCGGTCGAAACGGCTTTCATGTCCGTATCTTGAATTTTGATCTACTATCTACTGACATTTGATAATTGAAAGAGATACAGGGTGATCAGAATTCTGAATCTTGAACCACGCTGTATATGTTCCAAATAAATGTCAGTAGATAGTAAATCAAAAGTTGAGATAGGGCCGTTTGACCGTTTTGACTAATAATGAATATTTTCGACACAAAAAAATCCTTAAGTTAAAAAATCTCGATTTTGAACATCCTATATTTCTGTAATCATTCCCGCTACTCCGCTAGACCCCCAAGTATGATATACTGATGAAATCAGCTCTTCAGGGAGAATCTAAAAATACAATGAAATACAGGGTGTTCCATTCGAAAAATCAAGTAGTACTTTGTGAATCGTTTGTTCGGTGCACCATGTATTTTCTGATGCACGAGAAAAAAAATCTGGAAAATCATTTTAGATGATTTTTCAAATTGTTAAATCGGTTCAAAAATAAGTGAGCTAAAGGGGGGACATTTATGGTGAATCACCCTGTACATATGTAACTATTTTATAAATATTATTGGTAGAATACCTTATAATATGAGTGAACTAAATATATTAAAAATTGATAACTACCCCAAAATTCGTTTACAAGAAACCACTTATGACTGGAATAATTGGCATCTAGAAAAGTTCTCTATCCAGAAAAACGACGAAAAGAAGGCAATAGAAAAGACATGATGATTCTCATTCATAATGTACCTGAGTTGAAATAAATTGATAAAAAAAAATAAAATTTCATTGTTTTTGATGCTAAGAAAGAAAATTGAGAACTTCGGATGAAACTGTTTGCTTTTGTTTTTCTTACTTCGTTGAGCTTCAGATGCTCCGGCAAGCAGCTGATAGAAAATATGGAAGGTTCTTTCTTGTCTGGCTTGTCTGATGGCACGTGATTTTTCCAAGAGGTAAGTCTCTATGTTAGCACCAGCGATATATCCTGACGCATCGAAGTTGATCCTAATGAATTTACCCTAAAATTATAGGATGCATAACACATAATATTTCCGAGCAACTATAAACTGGATTTCGATATTTTGGGAAGATTATATTTTATTTACAGGGTGTATCTAAATAACGCCGAAAAAAATTCAAGTAAGTAGTGATTCCTTGTGAGATTCTAGCAAATAAAGTTCATATAAACTTGCCCCGTTTTTGAGAAAGAGGATGTTGAAATTGGAAGTATCAATTGTTTTAATTTATAACCCCCTGTATAAGCTTTCATGGTGCCAAAATTCAGTATTCAGAAAGTCCCAAAATTTCAAAATGATTCTAATCAAGGTTATTGAGTAATCTCAATGGAAGTCTTGAAAACACGCATAGATTACAATTTTGAGTCAAATCGAATTTCTATTGTTTCCTCAAAAATTAAGCTGGATACAAATGTTACACGAAGGATAAAAAAGTTGTTATTTCAATAGTTCAATCTAATGAAAATATGAAACTTGAAAATACCGGTGGCGTACAATGACATTCACCATAAATATAGATAAATTTACCCACTGTGACGCCACTGGAAATATTATTTCGAATCTAATTGCACCAGAAGGAGCCTCATATTACTATTAACAAGACCACAACGTTATATTGAAATTGATGAAAAGACAACTGAGTAATGAATAAAAAAACGACTTTTCATGGAAATATTATTACCCTGTATCTCGAAAACGAAGCGAACTTTATGTCCTCAAATATCACAAAGAATCACCCCTTGAATTTTTTCGATGTTATTTAGATACACCCTGTATATTCAAGTGATATTTTGAGTATATTTTGTATTTGTTCATCTAACCACAGTCTTCCAAACTTCACTCTGATATTATGAGCATTAAAATAACTAGTAGGCCATTGAAAACAAACGTGGTGTCCCTTACAGCAACCTTGTGTCTGTCAGTTCAGTGGACAATCAAAATAATGAAAAACTTCCCATAATATCAAATTTCAGTAGAATCTCTTCAAATATAGTACTTACGAATCTCGACGAGTTGTCATTCTTTATTGTCTTGGCATTACCGAAGGCTTCTAAAATTGGATTAGCCTGCAGTAGCTGTTGTTCCAGTCCACCCTATATTAAGGAGGCAAAATAAATGATAATTAAAATAAAAATGATGAATATTCATCAAAGGAAGGAAGGAATGCTCGAAGTCATCTCCACAAAATTTAATGGTGTTGTTTCACGATCATAAGGGACATGTTTCGGTCTTATAAAATACCATCTTCAGCCTAATTGAAAGTTTTGGAGTTGAAACATTTGATGCTACTCTGAAACTTTCAATTAGGCTGAAGATGGTCTTTTATAAGACCGAAACATGTTTCTTGTTTGAGTAACAACACTATTAAAATTTGGAGATGACTTCGAGCATTACTTCCTTCCTTCCTTTGAAAAATTTCACTCCACTTTGAGCAATGTGGACTTCTACAAAAGATGAATATTTATATTCAAAACAAAACACACACACACACATCAATTTTGTGAAATGCTGAACGATGTCAAGTTCATCATAAAAGGAAGATAGTGATGCCATGTTTCAATCAAAATGCTTTACACTGTTAACTGTGAAATTATTCCATTTTTCTGCAAGATGGCGATATCAAGTGTTTAGCAGTGAACAGAAGCACACAATGGCGTAGATTCTCATGACAACTTTTGAACAATCAAAAAATCTGAAATAGTATATTACACACCGAGGTGGAAAGTGATTCGTTCCTGTCGTGAGATTAGTTAGTTAACCGAGTAACCGAGAAGCAAGGCGTCGTGGAGTAAACTGATCTAAACACTTCTGTCACGTGGTAAATATTAGTAGCTACACCATCTTTCTTCTAGCTTCGTCATGATCGTTAATGATATATTATATCGTCGACGAAACCGCAAAACCAAGTAACTGACAAAAATTCGAAAATGGGATTCTGGCGGCAATCGGTCTATCATATTGGTGGGGATGCGTGTGCGAAACATCACAACTGGTAAAAAAATGTAAATATTTTAGAATCCATGAATACAAAACCCCTCATCTGAAAAAATAAATAAAAGGGGTCGTCAAAAACAGGTATCTAACAGTTGGCAACGTGATTGACGCCTCTGATATTTTGTGTTCAGTTTCTTTTCACAGAGATAAATCTCTAATTGGTGAGTGACTTTTTATGGAACCGATATGTAAAACAGTTTATTCTTAACTACAATTGGTATTTCAACACAGGATGTGAGAATTCACCTCAAGTGTTTGTAAAGTGGAAAGTCCAGGAAAATGAAGTTACGTGTTTTTGCGAATTACTTTTCTGAATGATTGTTGTTGCTTTTGCACAGAAGCACATGTCAAAACCAAGTATCATACGATGATAAACGAAAACAATGACTTTTTTCAATGATCGATGTACAAACGTAAGAATAATAATAATCATCAATCAGTTAACCCGAAATTATAAATTTTTTAGTGTGTCCTGAAAATTTTGGCTTTTGCAGTTACTTGGTTTTGCGGTTTCGTCGACGATATGCTCTTTTTAATCATCAATATTAGGTAATAGAGAAAACTAAGGATTTGTAATCTGACAAAGCCTCTTTTTGAATAATGGCAAGACAAAACAAAAACAAAAAATAGTTCACAATTTCATATAATTTAGTTGAAAAGCATGATGGTTATATGATTTAACTAGAAAATATAAGAAAGATTCAATGTTATATGGAATATTTATTAGTAGTACTGTACGCAAAATGTGTAGATAAAAACAAATATACAGGATGATGATCAACTATTTGTACAAGGTTTGAAGGACGACTAATTTCAAGATGGAAGTTCTGTAAACATGGGTTCACAATAGCTTTCATCTAATTGGCGGTAGTAATGATTTTTTTCTAAATATCTTTTTTCACTTGTTTTTCGAAAACTATTCATCGCAGGTCAACTTTGAACCAGCTCAATGGCTGCTTTCAGCGACAAATATTAATTGAACCCTTAGTACCTGAGTAAAATTACATAAGAATAGCGTAACAATAAAAAATTTTGACTATTCGAATCCAGCTACAATATTATATGTAAAAAACTAAGTATATTTTTGAGTTCATCATCATCAATATACTCGAACTGTCGAATTTCGTCAAATTTTGATGTAACTGTAAAACCAAATAAAACAACTATTTTGAACGCCAAATATCTCAAAATCAGTCAAAGATTCACTTTTCAAAGTTAGAACAAGCACTTATAGTTGAATATCCTGTATCTTTAATACATAAGTATACCTTGGACCGATGATCGTGAATAAAATTCAAAAGTTATATCTTATCTAATTCAATAAGTGTATTTATTCTGTGTGTAGTCCACTTCATATAATCAAGAAATTAATAACATAAACTTTACTCCAAGGAATTATGTAGTGTGATCAAATTATAATAACTTATACTTCAGGAATCGATAGAACTCGATGAAACATAAAACACCAATATCTCTCTCTATGAACATATGCTCTGCAAACGGTTCGTAATTGAGATAGAGGACGTTGAAATATACATTTTCTCAGAATATATCTGATATTTTGTGTTTTTTTTTCATGTTCCGGTTCTCACGAAAAGGGATGTCCTGTAATGTTCAGAGAACATCGTAAGAACCAAGGGAAATAAGGTAGCAATTGACGTTCTTCTTAAATTTCTGGATGTTATATGCCCCGGGGAACACCTCCCTTGGCAATGTGTTCTGGAGCCTCGCTGTTCGTTGGATGAACGAGTCTTTGGAAAGAGATGTTCTGCAGGTCTCTAAAGTGACCACGAAGGGGTGCGAAGCCTCAACTCGACGGGTTAATCTCGCGGGGACTGCCAAGAGAGGAACAATTGTTGATATTTCAGAAGATCATCTTCGATGAAAATATCTATAAAATAGAGCCAGATCGCCAACTTTTCTACGGTGTTCCAGAGAAGTGAGTGAGTTTGTGAGCGAGGCATCACCCACGAGACCAACTGCCCTTTTTTGAACAGAATCCAACAGTTTCAGGGCATGTTTGGGTGCTGCACTCCAAATATGGGAACAGTATCCCAGGACAGGTCGGGTCTGTGCCTTATAGATCATAAGCAGCTTACTGGGAGTGAAATAGCTCCTGGCCCGAAACAGAAAACCAAGTTTTTGGGATGCACTTTTAGCAATTGATCTTACGTGATTTTCCCAAGAAAGGTTATTGATGATAGTAATACTAATCATCGAAATGGATGTCTTCAAAGGTATGGTTACTCCTGACAAGCTTATATTAAGCACAGTGAGATCGGCTTTTCTATAGAGAAAAGGCATGCTTGTGTTTTGTTTGCATTGAAATCTACCAAGTTATTGGATCCCCATTCAAGAATTGCATTGAAAGCATATCATGACATTTTCTTAGTGTACCGTACCAACAAAATCTCAGAGCTGCATCTAGCAACAATATCGAAATATTTTCGTTGAGAAAAATTAAACGTTCAATTTCTGAATCAAAAAGCCTTTAAGGGCATTTTTTTCATAAGTAATATCACGATGTTCTGAATATTCAAGATAATTCAGTCGCTTCATTGTTCACGAATTTGTGTTGCCGAGCAACACCACGAGTCCATCAAGACAAGTGGTATTGCTGTACAGCAACAAATTTGAGTTAACAATGAAAGACAGAATTGAAAGAAGATATTCAGAAGAGAGTGGTATTTTGCTAGACTATTTCACGTTCACGAAGCATAAAAAGCATTTATTATAAATGAGTGATTCATTCTGACAAGTGCAGCCGTAATTATTTTATGCTAAACTGACAGACTTTGCTTGGGTATCCATTGTTACATCGTTGAAAACATCAACGCTGGCTTGTGATTGGCCAGATTATATTATGATGAGTGAAATAGTCATAGAAAGTCGAGTATATTGACTCCTGGAATATTAGTCATTTACACTTGATCTCGAGTTGATCGCCCTGAATATGAAGTATATAGACATTGAGTTATTTCTTTCGGGAAAACGCTCACACGAGTGATACTCTAACTCTACACTCCACACATTTATCTGTTATGAATGTTCCATGATTTTCCATGTATTGGTTAATTTTTAAGCTGCACTGACGACCAATGCACCAATGAACGAAGTGCGAGCATAAACGAAACATCAAACTTACATACCGAGAATTCCCTTGAAGGACTCTGGCATTGACCGCATGTAAAATAAGAAGAAGATAATATAGTAGGAGAGCAGGATGGCAATTTCGACCGTCATCTGATAACGATATGTTATATTATATTCCAAAGGCATGTAATAATAGATTGTTTTATTATGATCAAAAGTGACACTTTGTTTGACAAGCGAATTTTGCATTTGCGAGGCGGAGCGTTTAGCGAATCCGAGCGAAAGCAAAATTTGCGAGTCAAACAAAGTGACTTTTGATCCGAATGAAACATGCTATTTTTTCTGCAACCGAAACAATTAACTCGAATAAATTATGTGAAGTAACCACCAATGCCGTGCCATAATATGTATGCAATGCAACAAACATTGACAAATAATTTGTGTGGTGAGAATAATTTACCTGCATTAAGAGCAAGTTTATTCAATTTTCGAGAATGTTCCAATTGTAGTTTCAATATAAATACAACCACAGAGTGACATATTTGTGTATGGACCAGGTGCTCTAATGGCAAATACCGCGCCAGTGCCAGGTATAGGAACAAGACGTGGAAAATGTAAGGTTAGTGAGCATATCAAAAATAATAATAGCGATTATTTATTCCTCTCCATACTACACTGTGTTTGACTTGATAATCAAATGAAGGTTATTGATATAAAAAACTATTGCTTGGCGTGATTATTCAAAAACAAGTTATCCATCCAGAGAATAACGAATGAAAGACAGATCAAGCAATTATGTGAATCTTGAAGGCTTCCCAGATCAAAACAAAAATACTTAACTGAGATGATATTTATATCTCCAGCATGGGTATGGAATGCCAAATCTGCCGAAATCGGAAACATCAGGTATGCGTCCCCAACAAAATAACCAACCGTAACAATGTTGTTTATTCTTGATGACGTCTAGTACATCCTTTTTAGTTCCTAGAAGCTGAAGTTCAACTTT